AGTTTACTTACACCAAACTGTCCTTCCTCTATCCCCTCAATGATGACAAACAGGATACCATACTAAGCCACAGCCAACTGACACCAAGCTGTCCTTCCTCTATCCCCTCAATGCTGAACAACAGGATACCCGATTAAGACACAGCCAACAGACTCCAAGTTGTCCTTGCTCTATCCCCTCAGTGCTGAACAACAGGATACCCTACTAAGACACGGCCTACTGACTCCAAGTTGTCCTTGCTCTATCCCCTCAGATCTGAAGAACAGGATACTCTACTAAGACACAGCCCACTGACACCAAGCTGTCCTTGCTCTATCCCCTCAATGCTGAGCAACAGGATACCATACTAAGACACAGCCTACTGACACCAAGCTGACCTTGCTCTATCCCCTCAATGCTGAACAACAGGATACGATACTAACATACAGCATACTGACACCAAGCTGTCCTTGCTGTATTCCCTCAATGCTGAACAACAGGATACCCTACTAAGTAACAGTCTACTCACACCAAACAGTCCTTCCTCTACCGCTTCAATGCTGAACAACGTGATACCATACCAAGACAGTGCCTACTGACACCAAGCTGTCCTTCCTCTATCCCCCCAGTGTTGAACAACAGGATACCCTACTAAGACACAGCCTACTGACACCAAACTGTCCTTGCTCTATCCCCTCAATGCTGAACAACACGATACCATACCAAGGCACTGTCTACTGACACCAAGCTGTCCTTGCTCTATCCCCTCAATGCTGAACAACAGGATACCCTCCTAAGACACTGCCTACTGACACCAAGCTGTCCTTGCTCTATTCCTTCAATGCTGAACAACAGGATACACTACTAAGACACAGCCTACTGACACCAAGCTGTCCTTGCTTTATACCCTCAAGGCTGAACAACAGGATACCCTACTAAGACACAACCTACTGACACCAATCTGTCCTTGCTTTATCCTCTCAATGCTGAACAAAATCATGCCCTACTAAGACACAGCCGACTGACACCAAGCTGTCCTTTTTCTATTCACCAAAATGCTGAGCAACAAGATACCCTACTCAGACACAGCCAACTGACACCAAGCTGTCCTTCCTCTATCCCCTCAATGCTGAACAACAGGATACCCTACTAAGACACAGTCTACTGACACCAAGCTGTCCTGGCTCTATCCCCTCAATGCTGAGCAACAGGATACCATACTAAGACACAGCCTACTGACACCAAGCTGTCCTTGCTCTATCCCCTCAGTGCTGAACAACAGGATACCCTACTAAGACACAGCCTACTGACACCAAGCTGTCCTTGCTCTATCCCCACAATGCTGAACAACAGGATACCCTACTAAGACACAGCCTACTGACACCAAGCTGTCCTTGCTCTATCCCTTCAATGCTGAAGAACAGGATACCCTACTAAGACACAGCCTACAGACAGCAAATTGTCCTCTCTCTGCCCCCTCAGTGCTGAAAAACAGGATACCTGACTAAGAAACAGCCTACTGACACCAAGTTCTCCTCCCTCTATCCCCTCAATGCTGAACAACAGGATACCTGACTAAGACACAGCCTACTGACAGTATACTGTCCTCCCTCTGTCCTCTCAGTGCTGAACAACACGATACCCTACTAAGACACAGCCGACTGACACCAAGCGGTCCTCACTCTGTCCCCTCAATGCTGAACAAGAGGATACCCTACTAAGACACAGCCTACTGACACCAAGCTGTCCTTGCTCTATCCCCACAGTGCTGAACAACATGAAACCCTACTAAGACACGGCCTACTGACTCCAATTTGTCCTTGCTCTATCCCCTTAGTGCTGAACAACAGGATAACCTACTAAGACACAGCCTACTGACACCAATCTGACCTTGTTCTATCCCCTCAATGCTGAGGAATAGGATACCCTACTAAGACACAGCCTACTGACACCAAGCTGACCTTGCTCTATCCCCTCAATGCTGAACAACAGGATACGATACTAACATACAGCATACTGATACCAAGCTGTCCTTGCTGTATTCCCTTAATGCTGAACAACAGGATACCCTACTAAGACACAGTCTACTTACACCAAACTGTCCTTCTTCTATCGCTTCAATGCTGAACAACATGATACCATACCAAGACACTGCCTACTGACACCAAGCTGTCCTTCCTCTATCCCCTCAATGCTGAACAACACGATACCATACCAAGGCACTGCCTACTGACACCAAGCTGACCTTGTTCTATCCCCTCAATGCTGAACAACAGGATACACTACTAAGACACTGCCTACTGACACCAAGCTGTCCTTACTTTATACCCTCAAGGATGAACAACAGGATACCCTACTAAGACACAACCTACTGACACCAAACTGTCCTTCCTCTATCGCTTCAATGCTGAACAACAGGATACCATACCAAGACACTGCCTACTGACACCAAGCTGTCCTTCCTCTATCCCCCCAGTGTTGAACAACAGGATACCCTACTAAGACACAGCCTACTGACACCAAGCTGTCCTTGCTCTATCCCCTCAATGCTGAACAACACGATACCAAAGCAAGGCACTGCCTACTGACACCAAGCTGTCCTTGTTCTATCCCCTCAATGATGAACAACAGGATACACTACTAAGACACTGCCTACTGACACCAAGCTGTCCTTGCTTTATACCCTCAAGGCTGAACAACAGGATACCCTACTAAGACACAACCTACTGACACCAAGCTGTCCTTGCTTTATCCTCTCAATGCTGAACAAAATCATGCCCTACTAAGACACAGCCGACTGACACCAAGCTGTCCTTTCTCTATCCCCAAAATGCTGAACAACAGGATACCCTACTAAGACACAGCCAACTGACACCAAGCTGTCCTTCCTCTATCCCCTCAATGCTGAACAACAGGATACCCTACTAAGACACAGTCAACTGACACCAAGCTGTCCTTGCTCTATCCCCTCAATGCTGAGCAACAGGATACCCAACTAAGACACAGCCTACTGACACCAAGCTGACATTGCTCTATCCCCTCAGTGCTGAACAACAGGATTACCCTACTAAGACACAGCCTACTGACACCAAGCTGTCCTTGCTCTATCCCCACAATGCTGAACAACAGGATACCCTACTATGACACAGCCTACTGACACCAAGCTGGCCTCCATCTATCCCCTCAATGCTGAACAACAGGATACCCTACTAAGACACAGCCTACAGACAGCAAACTGTCCTCCGTCTGCCCCCTCAGTGCTGAAAAACAGGATACCTGACTAAGAAACAGCCGACTGACACCAAGTTCTCCTCCCTCTATCCCCTCAATGCTGAACAACAGGATACCCTACTAAGACACAGCCTACTGACAGCAAACTGTCCTCCCTCTGTCCTCTCAGTGCTGAACAACACGATACCCTACTAAGACACAGCCGACTGACACCAAGCGGTCCTCACTCTGTCCCCTCAATGCTGAACAAGAGGATACCCTACTAAGACACAGCCTACTGACACCAAGCTGTCCATGCTCTATCCACACAGTGCTGAACAACATGAAACCCTACTAAGACACGGCCTACTAGACTCCAAGTTGTCCCTGCTCTATCCCCTTAGTGCTGAACAACAGGACACCCTACTAAGACACAGCCTACTGACACCAAGCTGACCTTGTTCTATCCCCTCAATGCTGAGCAAAAAGATACCCTACTAAGACACAGCCTACTGACACCAAGCTGACCTTGCTCTATCCCCTCAATGCTGAAAAACATGATACATTACTAAGACACAGCCTACTGACACCAAGCTGTCCTCCCTCTGTCCCCTCAATGCTGAACAACAGGATTACCCTACTAAGACACAACCTACTGACGCCAAGCTGTCTTTGCTCTATCCGCTCAATGCTGAACAACAGGATAACCTACTAAGACACAGCCTACTGACACCAAGCTGTCCTCCTTCTGTCCCCTCAGTGCTGAACAACAGGATACCCGAATAAGACACAGCCTACTGACTTCAAGTTGTCCTTGCTCTATCCCCTCAGTGCCGAACAACAGGATACCCTACTAAGACACAGCCGACTGACACCAAGCTGTTCTTGCTCTATCCCCTCAATGCTGAGCAACAGGATACCATACCAAGACACAGCCAACTGACACCAAGCTGTCCTTCCTCTATCCCCTCAATGCTGAACAACAGGATACCCGAGTAAGACACAGCCAACAGACTCCAAGTTGTCCTTGCTCTATCCCCTCAGTGCTGAACAACATGATACCCTACTAAGACACAGCCGACTGACACCAAGCGGTCCTCCCTCTATCCCCTCAATGCTGAACAACAGGATACCCTACTAAGACACAGCCTACTGACACCAAGCTGTCCTTGCTCCATCCCCACAGTGCTGAACTACATGAAACCCTACTAAGACACGGCCTACTGACTCCAATTTGTCCTTGCTCTATCCCCTTAGTGCTGAACAACAGGATACCCTACTAAGACACAGTTTACTGACACCAAACTGTCCTTGCTCTTTCCCCTCAATGCTGAACAACAGCACACCTTACTAAGACATAGAGTACTAACACCAAGTTGTCCTTGCTCTCTCCCCTCAATGCTGAACAACAGGATACCCTACTAAGACACATAGTATTGACACCAAGCTGCCCTTGCTCTATCCCCTCAATGCTGAACAACAGGATAACCTACTAAGACACGGCCTACTGATACCAAGCCGTCCTTCCTCTATCCCCTCAATGCTGAACAACAGAAACTCTACTACGACACAGCCGACTGACACCAAGCTGTCCTTGCTCTATCCCCTTAATGCTGAACAACAGGATACCCTACTAAGATACAGCCTACTGACACCAAGCTGTCCTTGCTCTATCCCCTCAATGCTGAAAAGGCAGGGTAACAATAAGTACCATGGCTTTGAATGACGCGGCCAGTGCATCACATCACTGACTTCACTTGCATATAGACGCTCTGTCCACGAGTACCTGGAGGAAGTCACAGAAGAGAACGTTCTGAGCTGATGATGTGTGTTTAATCATGTGGAATGCATTTCTGGTGATGCACATTTCTTTGATCAGTTTTCAAATCCAAACACTATCCAATCTGATCAAAACATCTGTTCTGATCTGTTATTGTGTAACTTATATTTTACTGATGCTGGGATGCATACTACATATGTGACTACATAAAGTTGAATTCCAGAATTTGAGAATCGTCACACGCATACATTGTATCATGTCTGTCTACATACAATCCCCGTGGATAACCAATGATCTCGATAGTCTCTGACAAACTCCCCGACTCTGTCAGCTGTATCACCTTCTGGTGTCCCTGTCTACAAGCAGGATGTCTCCTGTGCTGGTAGTTGTGATACCACGAGGGTAGCTGAGTGCTCTGTCTCCGGCAGGGGCGTATCTCCACACAACATCCCCCTCTGACGTCAGACATGTCACAGACGTCTTCCCATAGTCAGACACGAGTAGCTTGCCCTTGTTGTTGACACACATGTAGAAGGGACAGGCAAACAGTGAGTCGCCATTGTATGTAGTGACTGACCTCAACACGTGTCCAGCCATGTCCAGGATATCAACACATTCACAAGCACCTGCTGCTAGAGATGAAGGATTCAGAACAGCCAGACTGTAGTATCCGGTACGTGTTGTGATGGTAGAGAGCAGCACCAGGTCAGGGGTCACTTCTACTGTTACAATCTGAAGGGAGTATGGGACAGCAACCATCACCTGCTTCTCATTCAACTGTGTCATCCCATGTGGAGGGTTATCCAGGGGAAGTTTACTATGGCATGAATGATTATTTCTTGTGAAGAAAGATTTCACACACTTGTTATCACAGTCCGTAACAACACATGTCTGTACACCATCTACAACCAGGACTGTCACATCATGTAGAAGAGGGTTCTTCTGATCACCCTCCATCCTCCCATCTATCGTGTCAACCAGCACTGGAGATGGCAGATATGTACCCTGGTCCTGGTATGTGACGTCAATCTTCCCCAACTGCAGGTTATCTAAGACCTTCAGGACGTTGTCAGTGTCAGGTGTAAAGATGATGTCATCTATTCTCCGGGTGTCTGCTGCCTCTGTATCCCTGACATCCTCCATCTCTACAGCTCCAGACTCCCAGGCCTGATACGCGTCATACAGGTCCATCTCACAGTCCGATACCAAGGCCTGGTCAATGAACTCACAATGTTGTCTGTACATCTGCATCTCGATCTCTTCAAGTTTAATATCTGCCTTAAGTTGCTGTGTTTGTTTGTCTGTAATGTCCTTGACTTCATTCATCAGCTGTTTTTCCTTTTGTCTGATGCTGGCGATGACTCTTTTAACAGCAGATTTGATGTTATGTTCTACTGTTAGTTTAGTTTTCGCTATTCCTCTAATTTTCTTGTGCGTTTTCCGAATCAACGTTTGTTTTTTGCTTATTTTCTTTGTCAGTACATTCGTGCTCTTTCTCAAATGGTACTTCATGGTTGGCATCACTGACTCCATGGTAACGACAGACTCACATTTCCTGTGGTGAAGCACGCAGCATGTCTGACATGCGGCTTTGTGACAGTCTTTACAGACGAACTTTATAACCTCACCCTTGTGTTCCTGACATACAGCCTTACGTCTTCTCTTGACCTTGACCTCTCCTGAAAGGTCACACATTTCATGGTCATGTGATGCTGGATTTGCACGATGCATCTTGACACATCTTTTGCAGAGGAACACTTCACACTCAGAACACCATAAGGCTCCTGGAGTTGTCTCCCCTAACTTCTCACACAGCGAGCAACACGAAACAGTACCTGAAAGTGGACATGTCTTTGGTAACTTAACATTTCACAATAATATATTCATAAGCTTGTACAATCGACTTTGCTTTCAGTAGATATTTCTTATGGATGTGGAAAGGGTTTTGTCGCTTCTATTACAGATTGAGAAATCCAAGTATAATCATTCAGGACTATTTTAAGGCATAGATAGAGTGGTAGATACCCTGAAGATCTATCATTACAAATACTCCTTACATGTTGTGTTATTTGTAGACGATGTTAGACAAATCTATTTTCAAGGGCTTTGTGGACTTTATCATACAATTCACACAAGTGACTGATAATAATTAGTATGTCAGTCGGTATTTGCACCTGCAGTACTTGTAGAAGGTTCCTGTGTGTCAATCAGCCCCTGTATAATGATGCTGGCTTTGATCTGCCCCGCCCACTCCTCCACCGGCCTCCTGGGGTGGGGACCTTGGTGTCTTGTCGACAGCAGGGACAGGGGATGGTCTTGGACTGTACAGCATCTGGTCTGGTCTGGACGTATGAGGTGACACATTTCCTGCAGAATGTGTGATCACACCTCAGTGTACACGGGTCTGTGTACTGTTCCTGGCAGATCACACAGGTCAGGAATTCCATCACTTTCTCCTCCCGTGACGTCGCCATCTGCAAAACAAGAATCACATCCGGGTTGGGATGATGCCCAGCCAGGTCACAAACTGCTCACTACTAAGTCGCTCTTGTGAAATGTGGGGATACTGGGATAGCCTCTCAGGGATCAATGGTATTATTTTCTATAAAACTGTCTTGATTATTCAATAAACACTGATACAGAAAAAGACTGAAAAACTCATTGTTCTGCATGTCTTGGAATAACGACATGTACAAGGTGTTTCAGAACTATAGTTTTAACAAAGCCCTCCATCATTATAGTTGTCATGACAACAAACTCCTGCTGTAAGAACAAGCTAGTCGTTGTCATACATAGTACCTGGTGTACCGTGAATTGCCAGTAATGAATTTTAACTGCGTTTCGCCGTTTGAAATCAACATGTGTTACTTATAAAAATCTAAAATGCCTAAAGTGTCCTGTAATTGGGAATTGTTATCCATCCGGTATCACAAAGTACACGTAAAAGTCACACCTCCTCAAAGCAGAGACCATATAATAATCTATTATATGGTCTCTGCTCAAAAGTGACAATACGAGGGAGGAAACTGTGAAATTCTTTCACAGGCCGAGCCAACATATATCTTTATAGTTTAAGCTTTAAATGTTGACAAATTAACAAATGAACTTGTTTACCTGAATGCCAGACATTGGTACAAAACAGGACAATAACAGAAAATGGCATCACTATATTTTGGTTTTAAAACGTCGCGTCCAACAATTCCTACTTTCGGTTTCTCTTCCTTTCAAATTTTGAGTGTAGACAAAACTAAATCAGTATTTTAAACAATATGCCTTAAATCTGAATAGATGGTATCGGTGGTCTGAATGTATGCGAATTATTCACACGATGAGACTGTCTTCTGTCTCCTGGATGCTTTGAAATATGCAACCCACCTGTCTACCTGTCTCTTCCGCGTACCACACAAGGGAGGTAACTGAGACAACTCGACTAAACGTGATTTATAAACTACCTGAGCAGATGACGACGTAGGTTTCTGGATCGAATCTAGGATGAATACTATAATTAAGTGAGATATCGACACAATCCAATATTCGTACGCTGTTGTTTTATAAACACATTTTAGTGTTAAGGAGGAGTTCATTATCTGTGTTTCTGGTGTATAACATTTCGTGTCTTGTCGTTCAACATAAACCAGAAAGACGTAGCTGCTGCCCAAACTCTCTCTCACGCACGCATGTCCCTCATTTACTGAGGTGAGGTGAGGTGAGGTGAGGTGAAATTGGGTTTAACGTCGTGCTTGAGAATATTTCGCTCATATGACGACGTGCATGCATGTGTATGTGTATGTGCGGCTGCTTGTACTAGCCCAGACTTAAGCTGGTTTTATAGTGCTAGCCCACTGAGATACCATGCCGCAGTGAAGCATGAATACCCCACTCAGACACATTTTACTGACTCCGAGCCGACCAGTCCTTGTTGTACCCATTAATGCCGAGCGCCAGGCAGGGACCAACAAGTACCATATTTTAACGTCTTTTGGTATGACGCGGTAGGGGATCGAACCCGCGACCTTCCGCTCACCGGGCGGACGCTCTAACTACTACACCACGGATGGCAGTCCATTTACTTCGGGTATCAATGGAAACAACATAACTTGTCCACTTGTTTACAGATAATGCATAAAACATTTAGTGCAAAAATATATTGCTTATAAATCTATTAAGATCCTCAACTATCGTAGTTGAATGTGTTAATGAGTCCAAGGTATTAAATATACTTGTGGCCTATTCGCCAGGAGGAATATCCGCAGGGGGATTAAACATGGAACGTACTGGAGTTGGCCATAAGTGAGTCATCACTAGTGAAATTTCCATAAGCTAACATGTTAATTATCTGTTGCAGGACTATTTTTCATAAATTGAGTAGGAGTCATTTTATTTTGATATTGTGCAAACATCTTTGAAATCACCTTCAGCTACGTGTACATAATTTTCTTTCATCTTTCCGTTGATTAGTTGTCGAATGACATCTGATTAAGTACAACTTATTTTTAATCTATTCCATAGACAGCCAGGTTAAACCTGATTGGTATTTCTAATATATGTTGTTTAAATAGTTGCAGTTTTCGTAGTAATCATTGGAAAATTGAATGGAAATTATGTGTATGTAGCTGAGATGATTTCCCAGCTGGCAGATAAGTATTGAAAGCAATTCGACCGAAACTAACTTTATGAAAATTATTCTTGCAAGAGTTAATAAACATGCAAGTTTAAGAACTTCACTAATGATGACTCACTTATGACCAGCTTCTGTATATCCACAATGTGCGACATATTAGATTGTGACAGTGTTGGTCTTTGACTAACTGGAGCAACAAAAACCCATTCATTCTTTTATTTGCATTAGGTGTTGAATGTTCATCGAAAGAGGCATTTATATAATATATTTTAAAGATATTTAAACAGTCAGATAGCATGCTCATCACAATTAAAATACAAAACACGTGTGGAATGCATTTTACGAACAGCTTCTGACAGAAACACACAACCTTTCACCGTCTCTCGCCAAAAACAAAGCAGCTACTGGTCACCTCCCTGAACACCACCCACCCAACCACCTCTGGATCCGCCTGTGCATTGTGCTTGACTATTATTAGTGATGATAAATGTTAGAACCTTTTCGGTAAAATGATTGAATCTGAATATATCTGTTTTATCTTCATTATTTAACTTCAGCTAGCATCTCAACGCGTCATTATCTACGTTTAGGACGGTAACAAGTCATACATACATGAAGATGATTCTCATGCTCGTGTTTCCAAGATTACAGTTGCTACGATATCAACTGTCACAATCAGCTGCCTGAACAAACTGAAAAAATGAGTGTCTACGAAAGTGGTTTATGCTTGGACTTTGTAACGACTGTCTATTTTATGATTTATCCTGCAGATGTATGACCTGTTATTCACAGCGTAAGTATCTGTGTTGAAGGCACACTTCACAAAGGCCAATGTCAATGCAGCTGCCACAGGAAAAGAGAAAAGAAAACAGAATGATGGACATAAAACTAGTGAATATTAGCGTAAAAATACTAAAATACAGGCGTCTTTTGTACCTAATGCTTCCTGACGGTAACAACGTAAAACTGACGGAACAAGGTGAGTTTGTCCCTCAAGTTCTCACCTCATGTAGTATGATTGAGTGTTGCGGCGTTTGTGAAATACCTATTGAAACTTTAAATATCAAGCATATAAGATTTCGTTGAGCTCCTAATCATATTTTTGTCATGACTACTGTGCGTATGCTTACTTTCATGTAGCACGACACAAATCCATTAGCTTTCAGAAGCTCATGAATGCTTCTCATTTTGCACTCGTCATTTATTGATACTTAGTGATAGATACGAGTTATGTCAAAATAAAACTGAAGCTACCTTCTCTGTCTTTGAGTCGTATGTTTCTGCAAATAATGCAATTGTTGAACAATGAGTAGAGTTCTATGGATATACAACTTCTTTAATATTAAGCTCATATTAATATTAAAAATGTTGTACATCCATAGAACTCTCCTCGTTGTTCATCACACCAACTTCTAAATGCCACTTAAAGAAGGTAATGTAATTGTTTCCATTTTGTGTGAACCTGTATGCTTGTCAGTAAGTGCAACATGTGTACGAAGTATAGGCGAGTAAGGACTTCTTGTCTATTTCTAAAATGGATTTTGAAAATAATTTACACAAACACTTTCTTCGTGTGATCACGTTGCCTGAAAACCTCTAGAAACATTTTATGAATTTTTGAAACAATATTTAAACCTTAATTTGTGTTGTTTATTTAAATGGTTTCAGACGTTGTTTAGATGTTATAATTAAATAGTGTAAAAGTATCGGTATGTGAATTATCATTTCAACGGTTTGACTAAATATTATTGAACTAGTGGTAGAAGAACACACAAGAACGCATATTCATCTTAATGACATATCACGAGAAGACAGTTGGCAACTTCTCTTCATGACATCAAATCGACATGACTGTGTACATTGTTACATTGGCTTCTAAGTTCTATTTTGCACTGCTAGGGACATTATGTCAGTTATATCACAGCGTGTCTGCTGAATGTGGGAGGAAAGCCCGAAGTAAAGTGCATCTTAGGTATTTACATATTTGGTGAAACCCAAGAGCAAGGATGTGATGCTTAGAAACACATGACCATCTCCAACACGCCCGGTTCTTGTAGAATGGGAGCTGGTGCCAAATAATTAACAGTGAAGTATGGTACCAGTGGCTTAGTTTAGTCAACAATTACTCATTTCTGCAACCGGTTAAGCAAATTGGAGCAGCATATATCCTCACACGTAAGTATATGAGACAAAATCTGTCCATAGTATCCAAAAGCAACAAAAACCATTTCCATATCCATAAGATATTTCTGCCGATAAAAAGATTCCGACTGTATGATCCCGACTCCAAGTCCTCCAAGTGTGGGTAGTTGATGGCAACAAGGCGTTAGCATCATCGTGTGTGAGACAGAATGTAGTCCATCTTGTGATGGAGGTGAAGACGGGTGATTATTGTCAGCAGTCTGAGGCAGGAGATGGAGTCTTTCTGATTTTCTGTGTCATCAGATGTGTAAGTGTGTATCGCAATACCTGAGCCAGTTTGTAGCCATTATGCAGTATTGAGGTCCTGCCAATAGATGCCACCATAGTGTGTGAGAGAATGTAGTCTATCGTGTGATGGAGGTGAGGGCCAGTGATTCTTGTCGGCAGTCTGAGGCAGCTGATGGAGTTTTTCTGACTTTGTGTCTCATCAGATGCAGGTGTGTATCAAAATACCAGTTTGTAACAACGATACAGTATTGAGGTCCTGCCGATGAATGTCTATTTGTGGAATTTGCTTGGAAGGGAGACATCCAAAATAGAATGGAGATCGACAGCGGAATATTTACTTTTGGAAAATTTGAGCTCAGAAACTGTCACAACTGGTTTTCTAAAATCAACATTGTAGGTGACTAATATTAGCAACCCTGAAGAGAACGTGGAAGCTGGAAGCATGGAACTTTGCTTTAATGTTGTAGTGTAAAGTTGAATTTAGATAGATATTACGGAGGTTCGGGGATTGTTGTTTGCTGATCGAATAAAGTTTCTGGACATTCAGTGAGCAGTTTGGACGAGCCCATTTGTATTTATGCATGGAATTCCAACCCCTGATTAGTTGTCATCGTAGTTGTGTATGACGGCGGAAGCACAGAACCAGTCCTAGACGTGCAGTAGTTGACAACAGCCATTGAAGAATCTGTGCTAAAGGGAGTGTTTCTCAAGTCAAATAATACCATGTGACTTTACACACATTTATTCCTTAATCTTGTGGCATTGTCAGCTAACGTATGACATGACGTGTTGTCTGTCATCTGTGTGTTTACCTTTGAACTAGGATTTAAACCTGCTGACTGTACGACCCTCAATCATTATCAAATGTCAAATTGTTGACATGATGTTGACATTTCAGATGGGTTTTTTTAACGAAGATATGACAAGTAGCCTCTTTGGACTCTAGTATTCTAAATTGATACAGGTTATTCCTTCCAGCTTGTACATGTAATCAAAATTGATACAGGATATTCTTTCCACCTTGTACAGGCAATCTAAATTAATACAGGTTATTCCATAAATGTTTTTATTACTCCCAATTTTAGACACTTTTAAATGTGGGAAGATATTTAAATTCTGATATTCCTTTACATCTCAGATCTGCACTGTCGAAATTAAGATGTGGTCATTTTTATTTAGCAGTTGAAACGGGAAGATACAATAAAGTTGATTACAATGAGAGATTATGTTTATTTTGTAAATTGAATGACAAAAATGTTATTGAAGATGAATTTCATGTACTCCTTAAGTGTGAACGCTGTTCTTTTTAAAGGTTAAGATATATTCAGAAATATTTGACTGATTTTGATCCAAATGCCAATTCTATTAACATTATGAAAACAAATAATGACTGTATCATTAAAATATGTTAGTATTTTTCTGTAATATGTATTTCAGCGCATTAGAAATGTTCCTCTTACACAACAAGAAATAGTAAAACAATTTAAAAGCAACCAACCATTTGAAATCACACATCAATAAACACATGAATATTTACAATACTTTTCTATTATAGTACATTTCTTGACAATTTTAGTATATTAAAATGGTTAATCCCACACAAACACTATAAAACTATAATACTGAAAATATAATAATTAAAATTATATTGGCCCCCTAACATTTATTCAGTTATTGAGTGATGTAAACAAAGCATAACTGTGATCTTCTTTCTGTCTGCTACTTAGTATGCATAATATATATGTTAATCCCAAACAAACAATATAAAACTATAATGCTGAAAAATATATTTCTGAAAACTATCCAACATTTACATATAACTGTGATGTTCTTTTTCCGTCTGCACTTAGCATGCATTTTATACCGAAATCAACACAACCTTTCGGTTAACAAATTATGTATTACTTCTGATGTTTCAATTAATATAATCACAACATATGTTGACCATATCTACACACTGAAATGATTTTAAAAAATGCTGAATGGATAACAATAATTCACTAACAACACCAAGACCGACAAAAACACTGAGTGAGTGAGTGAGTTTAGTTGTACGACTAAACTCAGCAATATTCCAGCTATATGGCGGCGGTCTGTAAATAATCGAATCTGGACCAGACAATCCAGTGATCAGCAGCATGAGCATCGATCTGCGCAATTGGGAACCGATGACGTATATCAACCAAGTCAGCGAGCCTGACCACCCGATTCCGTTGGTCCAAAAACACTGAGTAATATATATAAATACACAATAGTTTGCTGATGACAAGATTTGACAAATACATATATTCCAGTGTTCTCATACATGAAACAGCAGTGTAAGCATGACCCAACAAGCCTTGTGAGGAATGTGACGTATGATTGATTACAAAACTTACTTAAGGAATAAGTTAGGTCAGATCAAACAATACAGTAATGTTTGAATCCGGTAATCTAAATTCTTGGAGGTTATACCTTCCAACTTGTACATGCACAAGTAATCTAAATTTATAAAGGTTATACTTTCCAACTTGTACGTTGAACTGTTTAAGGGGTGATAAGTCTTAAACGGTGATACTGCACATTACAATAAACTCAAGAATATTTACAATATTTCTGTTATAGTTCATATATTTACATTATTAGTATATCAAATCTGTTAATCCCACACAACAATACCAAACTATAAGCAACAAACGTTTTTAATGTCTCATAACTGCCTGATACAGTCCCGTTCTCTGGAATAACCCTCAGACTTGATCCATATAGAGTGTTGGGGCCCAATATTGAAGGAAGGGGAAATGTATCACTTTTCTCGAGCATGTCACTTTGATTACAATAAAATATATTTACAATATTTGAACATCTGAAAGAATTGGTGGACCTAACAATTATTGCAATAAACACCAAATCAAGTCACAGCAGGTTGTGCTGGGCTAACATTCCTATCTATAGAAATACATACTTGGGTGGATGCAGGTAACACGTGGGTTCATGTACTGTAAGGGAGACAACTACTGCAGGAGGAGATGCTTATTGGACTCCGTTAACATGAATGCTAAATAATAAAATGTGTACGGAAAATATCATAGTAGTACAGGTCATTACGAATTGGTCCACCAAAATATTCAAAGACAATTTGAAGAGCACACAACACCTATCCATGCACATAGCAATGATCTTAAGACTAGGAGGATCGCTCCTGTCAAACAAATCATTAAATAAGAATACAATGATAAGAGTGACATGCACTACAAGATCATATGTTCATAACTTATATATTATTATACATGTATATCATTTTTATTCCATAAACAAGCATGGCAAGTATACTCGTGTTCATTTCATGCATTTATAATATGAGTACTTTACTCGTATAAAAGCATTATTTAGCTAAATACCAATAAACAGGATTAAGGTCAACTGTTATTTCCATGTCATATTTAGGCAAGCAAGTGATATAGCACGCAGACATGGTTGTGTTATGACATATTATCCACAGATTAAATACTTTAGTCACAGATTTTTTATTGATTGTCAGTCTTTATTCTGTTGTTCTGTTATTTGTTATTTTAGATAAACTTGACATCAAGTATTCCAGGGGAAGTGGTCCAGGAGGTCAGAACGTCAACAAAGGTCTGTCTACTTTTCTATAAAATATATATTCATGGCCTGTAGCACTGTAAAGTATATTTGAGTTCAAGTGAAGAAATCAGTCATTTTTCTCTGCCTAACCAGTAAGAAGAGCCCGATATTCTCTAAAGACAGAACACAGGTAACAGTCATATTAATTTCACATATTGTTACCATCACTCTCACCATCATAACTATGTAGCTCGTTCTGACATGTTCTGTTGTCAAATCTTATTAGGGATGTCACGATACATTTCAAGTTCATGATTCGATACGTATCACGATACATTTCATGATTCGATACGTATCTCGATACCTATTTTCGCGGCATTATTGCGTAAATTTAGTTACATTTTGAACATTATTATTTCATTTTTTATAATTGTCCATGAAAAGATCAACAGTTTTTTATTCTCAGAGATTAATAAGTTCTAATTTCCCATCTTTGTGGATGAAAAATAATCATTTATAACTCTCATAACATCAGAAAACATGATACAATTGCAAAAAGAAAACGATCCATAAACATATTTAAACCAATACTTTCAAAACTAAATATCGATACAGATTTGAATGTATCGATAATTGTATCGTCAAAGAATACAAAGAATCGATGTATCGCCGAGTGTGGCATCCCTACTTATTAAGTCATTTCTTATTGCACACTTAAGGATACTCAAATATTCTCTAAAGATTGAACGGAGGAGTAAGTCATATTAAGTTGACTTATTGCTATCGTGACTTTCACCATCTTGTCTAATCTAATTAACATCGGTTCTTGGTGCTCGTTACCGCAGCACAAAGATCACAGAACATCCCAATGATCCCATTACAGATCATGTCTGTATGACCTTTTTGCAGAAGATCTGTGAAGATCCAGGTTAGAATTGGTATTCAGCAACCAATGCTTGTTGTAAGTGGCGGCTAAGGGGATCGGGTGGTCAGACTCGATGACTTGGTTGACACAGGTCATCACATCCAAATTGTGTAGATCGATTCTCATGCTGTTGATCACTGGATTGTGATTGTGGCACTACTACATTCGACATCTGCAGTCTGTTGTTTTGGTGATAAGATATACAGACATAAATAATCTTGCTGAGGATATGTATCCTCAACACTTATCTTTGTTCTAACACTCGATATTAACATATATACTTAGAAGAGATCATAATATAATATATGTAAACATGATCCACCCATGTAGATGCGGTTTAGAATTGGTCTTTAGCAAACCATGCTTTCTGTATGCGGCGACTAACAGGATCAGGGGGTCCGACTCGCTGATGTCGTCGTATCCCAATTGCATAGATCGATGCTCATGCTGTTGATCACTGGATTGTCTAGTCCAGACTCAATATTTACACACAGTCGCGATATAGCTCGAAATGTGCTGAGTACGGTGTAAAACAAAACTCACTCACTCCCTCTGACTGGATCCCTCACTGGATCAGAGAGAGACTCCTGGAGAAGGTGGGTTATCTCCCCCCCTCCAAACTATAGATTGAATGCCAAGATGAACAAACATTCAGTGTCACAATATAATATACTCTTTAACACAAGAATTTGGAATAGTCAGAACTGAAAAAGAATTTCTAAACTTTGAAATGTCTCAATCAGAAATGATGCCCTACTCCCATTTCTGGGGCTACTGTATGCGACACGTGCACACTATCTGTGTTTTAGTGTTAAGTTCTACAGACATGAATAATTTTAACAGGATATATATCATCAACAATTATCTTGATCAAACACTTGATATCATACATGTATCCCTACTATTCTTAGAGAGTACATGTTATTTGTATGACAAGAAGTAAGATGGCATAGTACTAACATAGAGACCAAAACTATTCAATCCCATGCTGCTCATATCCTCCGATCCAGTGCCATGCATCTCACTGTGAAGATCTAACATCACTAACAGGAGTCGGAATCCGGAGACCTTCCAATGAGCCGAAAGGTGTTTGGGCTTCTCAGTTCCCAGTTCCAGCAACCCCTGAAGATCTCGGTTAGAATTGATCTTCAGTAACTCATGCTCCTTGGAAGAGGCAACTAACAGGATCAGGTGGATTGGTTGACACATGTCATCGGTTCCTAATTGCGCAGATCAAAGCTCATGCTGTTGATCACTGGATTGTCTGGTCCAGACCTGATTATTTATAGACCGCTGCCATATATTTGGATTATGCCTGAGTGTGGGGTTAAACTAAACTTACTCACTCACTCCCTACACAGGAGGCTGGTAGGATCACCAAGGGAGGCTATCTGGTCGTGACCTCGGATGCTACAAGGAAACAGATGTTGAACCAGGCGGACTGCATGGAGAAAATACGTACAGTCATCTTCGGGGCAGGTGAACTTCCTCGTGAGCTCACAGAGCAGGAGAGGACTGTGAGAGACAGAAGGTATTAAACCAGTTTATTGAACTCACATTTTAAGTTAAATATCTTCAGTAACCCATGCCTGTCGTAAGAGGTGACTATCGGGTGGTCTGGGATGCTGACTTGGCTGACACATGTCATCGTATCCCAACTCCGTAGATTGATGCTGATACTGTTGATCACTGGATTGTCTGGTCCAGACCTGATTCTTGACAGACAACTGCCATATAGCTGGAATATTGCTGAGTGTGGCATTAATCAACATCCAACCTTATAATGTACGGCAAGACTACAGAATACCAGATACCTTCCGCCATCTTTGAAAGCTTATTTTAGAACTGCGCACAAAATGTGCGCAACTGAGTTCCTTAGTAACGGCGTTTTGTTTATGTTGCATAGAGCATTAGGGTTTAGGGTTTAGGGTTAGGGTTTAGGGTTTAGGGTTAGATTAGACATTAGATATGATGCTTACCTTCACAGAACGAAATCGTCAGCACTGTCGTCAGCATCGGGTTGCAGAGGAGCGAAGGGGCGTCTCACATGCACAATTTCATCATCTCTGTCATGGGGTTTATATACACGACTGATAAGCTCCAAGAAAGCTATAAGCATGTCCTCCCTGTTACTCAAGTACTTCCTTCTTACACAAAATTCTTCAAAATATGAAGAATACAACCCCTTAGTAGTGCCTGATCGTGGTAGAGATCTTTTCAAAGCACCCCAAGAGGACTCAATGGTGTTAGTATGTGCTCCCGTCTCGGGGTCCTTGAAATGGATCGAGTGATTCACTTTCAAGTGGAGAAAGTCTTCATGCTTCAAGCAGTCATAGGCTTTCCAACAATCGCTTATTATTGTGGTGCCTGGTTTGATGTATTTCTTAATTATCGGAATTAGTGTCTCAGAGTCACGCTTGTCCACACATGCAAAAAAATAGTCTTTGGATTCCCGATCGATTCCCCCGAAAACCCACTGACCGTCAACCCTTTTTCCTCGATTAAATTTTCTTTTCCAAACTTTGATTCGTCAATCTCCACTATTCTTCCCTCCCCACCGATCCTATCACTGTCAGAATCTGCCACAACAACACAAACTTCGCGACAGAAGTGGTACCAGTCTACAGAAGTGTTGCAAGACGAAATGTCTAGTTCCCGACGTACAAAAAATCTTGAGACAACTTGAAAATCCAACAATATGTGAGCAATAAAATTTTGCCACAATCTAATTTGCTGTTTTCAAACCACGAATTGTGGCGAATAGACAGTTTTTTGCCGCACGATTTCTTGCTACTTTTCCAACACAAATTGTCTTTGCTGTAGCTTTTATCTTTACACAAATAAAATTTCCCAATACAACATTTACCGCATGTTTTCCCGTCCTAGTTTCCAAAAAGTCCCTGTTTCTTAAAAATCGATGAAGTTCTACTTTGTCTTCCGATAACTTGAATACGTCCCACAATCGCATCTTCTGAACGCCGAGTAGAAGTTGTAGACTTCCAAATACGGCCGTTACTAGGCTATGACGTAGACACAAACTGACCAATCACTGAACACTTACCTTTCAGAAATTTCCCACGCTCATTCGCTCCAACTCCCAGAATTCCGTAGGTCCGGTTTTTTCAAAGGCGCATATATTTTTTATTTGTGATAACTTACCTTTCATTTTAAAAATCGTTGGTTAGTTTTACTAACCGGAAGTCGTCTCAATCAATCCGATTTCAATGGTTATTTTTCATTTTAATGCTCGCTTATTGTTTCGAATAATATAGCTCGTGCTTCCCTATAATAGGAAGTGCGCGTGCTAACAAAGAATATGGTTGGTAGGTATCCGGTATTCTGTAGGTGTACCTAATGTACTTGTACATTATAAACAATACAGAAGCAAAACGCCCATTTGACCATTTTTTTGGCAATGTGAGTAGATGTGTCTAGCTGACATGCAGTCAGAATTTGTGAAGAAAGTTTGCTTTGTTGTGTGATGGTTTCTACATCAAGGTTGGAAAAATTATTCAGCCAAAATATTCCATGTAGATTCCAGGTCAGAACTGGCTATGAAGGAGATGTCAATATTGATATTGTGGCGGGGTTGTTGGCTTGATCGCCTGTCATTGTGATGGTATCTGGTGTGGCTCATAACATCAATCACTAGTTTGTTGGATCCAGTCCCTGTTATGTGTTTGTGACCTGCAAAATTGCCATATGTCGTGTTAAACATGAAACGAATAATGGGAAGTTTTGTTTTAGAAATTGTGCCCAGTAACCTTTGTTCAAAATGTTAGAAAATTGTATCCTTTGACTTGTTGTGTCATAACAACAGGACATCATGAGACATTTGTTATAATATCAACCACTGGTTTGTTTGGTCCCGCCTAGCTTCTCAATAGGAATCCATGAAATGGACGGAGTAACATACTCGTGTAAATGAAATCAAGTGATCATTTATGATACATTTTGTTTAAAGTGGTACTCACAAATAATCAAGTGTGGTGGGTGTGGTGGGCGAGCTGGCCAAGGTACCAGGCTAGTGATCCAGCGAGCTTGAGGTGCCGGGATCGAGCCCACCTGTGACGACCGGGTTTAAAAACCTTGGAGTCAACTTTGTGTGCAGACTTCCGTGTTGTCACAACCCCTAGTGTACAGTACACAAACCTGCGCACTTAAAAGAACCCAAGAATCCGCTGGTGTATGACTAGATGGTGGCCACATGAATACGTGCAAACACCTAGTTGCGGGTACAGCAATGTGCAGTGAACTTGGACAAAGTACTGTGACTACGTGCCCCAGTCCACCCAGCTGTGGATAGGCACCTCGTTAGGATGAGAAAGCCACAATAACTCGATGCGCCTAGTGGCAGCAAGAGTTGTATACTCCCCAAGGAGTTGAGATTGATAATACGATGTGCCGTTAAGATTGACATCCAATGATCGAGGGGAAAAATACCAGCGCCTTGAGCATGCTCTAGTTGCGTGGATATGTGCGCTATATAAATATCCTATAATAATAATAATAATAATAATAATAATAATAATAAAAAAAGAAAAAGATGGTGACTTGTAAGTAACCAAGTCAGGAACAAGTCGCGGTAGTGATATTGTGAGCACCAATCCACAAAGCCACTCAGATGGACCACCTAATCCAGCTGGCCACCCATGATGACCAGCATTGGCTGCTGGGGGCATGTTCCATCTAACCATGAAATACGCAGGACCCAAGCAGTTACTGATCGCTCCAGTACTGAACATCTTGAAAGAATAAAAAATAAGTTAGGATCTGTAACTGAATCATGTCTACAACTTAATTGTTGACAGACTGCTCGAAAAATGTGGATGTATGATTGTGTAATTCAGTATTTTATTCAAGCCTATGTGAGGCGGTGGGGTAATTTAGTGGTTAAAGTGTTCGCTTGTCACACTGAAGACCTGGGTTCGATTACCCACATGGGTACAATGTTTAGGAGATATACATCATATGTTGGCCAATTTCCGGGTGTTATTGAGTATTTGAAGCACAGGAATTCATTTGGAACCGACGGCGTCAGCCGGAGGTTTCAAATGAAATATTCCCGTGCTGGGGAATGTGGCCTGTGATTGATTACAATGACATACCTGAAGGAATAAGTAATGAACAGCAGCTCAGGTCCCTGTCACGTATTTATTTGATTCCCCCAACATGGCAGCAACGGGAATCACTATGACTAAAGTTTTTCATCAAGTAGTTGCCACTTGATAATTAAATTTTCAACACTCTTTCAATTGACATTATTAGATTGGTTCAATATTTGAAAGTTGCGGGGACCAGACTTTATGAAACACCAGAGAAAATACAGGTAGTTTGACAGGGCTAACATTCCAATTTCAGGAAATGATTTTTGCAGTGTATGCTGGAAACAGGCGGGTTCATATACTGCAAGGGAGACAAGAGATACTTGTAACTCCTGTACAGTTTCATATATAAACATAAAATTCATATGACAAAATATGTTATGATATGACAGGCTACATTTATGATACTTATCAACAACTGACAATATGTTTCCCTCTAAAATAGAATATACCTGACTTCCTACACTAACCTTTTGATCTGTGATCTGTCAATTTTTGATGTGACATGTTAATTTCAGATTACACATCCACATTACACATACAGATTCTAGTTAATTTTCAGATTGAATACCATCCGGGATTACCCACACTCTCAGAGTCCTAATCACTAGCACACAAAGTCAGCCATCTAACCCACTCATCCAGCCCTTTCTCAAAGGTATTCATAACACTGATATAACCCTTACAGACCCAATTAGCCTAATGTCAAACTGTATCCTTCGTTCTCTCTCATTTCAAGCTCACCTCTTTTTAAAATGATGTAAACATTAAAGGTCATTCATTACATTGTGACTGTTTCTTTACTTTCAATATGTGCAATTCCTGAATTTAACCCTGGGATAAATTATGGCTTCATAATTTGGTAACCAAAGTGGCTATTTTTCATTATCAAGCGCGGGGTTTAACTGCGGGAATTCCATACAAGTTTGATATCCCAGCTGTTCGAAATCAAATTCCTCATCAAAGTATTCATCCATTCATATAATCTTTAGAATCATCTGTTTCTAAAAATGTACCTGACTTCCCACACTCCATCTTCGATCTGTGGCCAGTGTGTATCTTTGGCAAGGGTCAAGGTGTGTCACCCCTACACTACTCACTGCCCGCCTGGACACCCGACCTGGGGGAGGGGCAAGCAAACCTACCATCCTACGTTTCCTAATATAGTGGACGTTCTGTGTTTCCTAATATAGTGGACGTTCTGTGAATCTGATGAGATACCACATCTCAGTTTACCATGGATACCCTACTAAGACAAAGCCTACTAACACCAAGCTGTCCTTGCCTTATCATATCAATGCTGAACAGGCAGGGCAACAACAAGTACCACATTTAGAATGATGCATCTAATCAGGGACTTCACTCGCTGGTAGACGCCCACGAGTACCTGGAGGAAGTCACTGACGAGAACGTTCTGTTGTGTTATTGAACTT